TCTTTTTCTCCCTTTTGTAACTGCTTTGTATTTTACCTAATTTTCCTCCCCTCCTTCAAATTCACCCTTTTCGATATTAATGGTTGATCGGGTTGAGCCGCTGAGGGGTTTATTCCCTGATTACAGGGCTCGCTCTTTCCCCCTTCTTCCGCAGCCCGTTCTCCCTTCCCTGTCATGCCCTTGACTTTTTATTATTCCCTTCTTGAGCTCCCTCACTGCCTCTCTTGTGCTTCTCGCTCGCTGTTGTTACCTCATTGTTGCTTCCCCTCACCTCTGCCTGTTCCTTTCCCTCCCACATTACCAACCCCCCCCCCATCCTATTACAGTGTTTCTCCACCCTGCGATATGCCTGGTGAAGGTCTCGCTGCCCCGACACCATTACCGATAACCACAATCTGAGGCTAACCATTTACCGCTGGTTTAATTTGCGCGGGAGCTTTAAATGCAGGTCGGATTCCGCCCCGAAAACATCATGATCGCGGCAAATACGCAGCCAGAGAGTGGTGCGTATCATCTTTCGTCGCTACAACACACCTCCGCGAGTAGTTCTGTGTCGTCCTCCTCCGACCAATGGACTTCAGCTCGACCATCTTCAGGCACTTCCACCCCGGTGCAGCCGACCTCTCGAGGGGCCACAAGCTCAGCGTTGCGAAATACTTCTGTCCCTTCCTCAATTTCAACGCCTCAACCAACAGTAGCTGCTGCGCCTCCTTCTGGGACTAGTAGCTCTACGTCGCATACCCAGACCACACCAGTATCATTTGAGCAGTCGCATCCGCAGCCGAGTGGTGGAAATGTTGGCTTGGAACAACCCCACCCTTCATCCTCGTCATCAGTAACAATAACCGCCGGCCCGACAAAGCGAGCCTCGGATGAAGGAGAAGAGGGCACCACACCGCCCGTGAAGCTAGAGAACCTCTCACACGTCGTGAACCTGGTCGGGGAGGACTCGCCACCCCGTTCACCGCCCAAGAGGAGTCGTAGTGCGGACGAGGATCGGCGGAGGTACGAAATTAGCGGGATGCCCGTGCCGGATGTCATCGAGATGGTAGCTGGGCTATTGACCAAAATTACCACTACAAACGACCGGCAGCACGATCAGCTGCATAGGAACATACCGCCCGCTGAAGCAACTTCCGGGTTGAGCGTCACCACCAATAGTGTTCTCGCCTTCCACGGAAAGAACGTGCCCAGCATCACCATACTCAGCTACCTATCTCGGATACACAAGTACTGCCCGACAACCTACGAGGTGTTCTTGTCCATATTGGTGTACTTTGACCGGATGACCGAGCGGGTTAACAAGGACCCTCACCACAATTGGCGAACAGGAACTGTTGATGCGGCCGGGGATTTAGATGGCGGTCCCGCACCCACTTCTACTGCTTCTTCCACTCCCACTCCGTCCATCACAGATGCGTATAATTTCTCGCATTTTTTTGTTGTCGATAGCTTTAATATCCATCGATTGGTAATTGCTGGCGTAACATGTGCTTCCAAGTTCTTTTCGGACGTTTTCTATACAAACTCTAGATATGCCAAAGTACATTCTCCCAGATTTTCTCTCCTCGATTCACTGGTAGCTAATTTGTCCAGGTTGGCGGTCTCCCACTAGCCGAACTAAACCACCTAGAACTACAGTTCCTCATCCTAAACGACTTTCGCCTCTCGGTGCCCGTGGAAGAGTTAGAAGCCTATGGAACCATGCTCGTGCAGTTTTACGCTAGGGAGGCGGTGTCCAGTGCGAACCTTTTAGATAATAACGTTAATCCGCCCCCCACTCCCCTTCCACAGCCTCCGACACAGCCCCCGACACAGCCCGCAACAGTAGAAACGGAGACACCGCGCGTGGAGAATAGTATTATGGCCTAGGGGGTGCGAGATACTGGAATTGATGCTTGCTTGCATGTGTAGAGAAGGGTAGAATTTGGGATGGTTGTAGTAGAAGGTTATTGAGGAGTTTGCGGGAGGGTTTATTTTTCTGTTTCTATCATTTCATTTCACTCATTCTCTCTCGTTCTCTCTTAATACGGCATGGCACTTCAACCTCAACCTCGGACTCAAACATGGACACGGATTCGTTGGCTGCATGGGAATTTTAAATAAAGGCGTCTTTTTTATATTTATTTCGTTTCATTACCAGGTTTATACAGCCACTCGGCAAAAGTTTTCGTGAAACGGAGTCTCACTTCGATGGAGATTATGTTGGCCCAAGGGGGGGGGCACTACGCAATTGGGGTCTGTGTGGGAGAGAGCCCCGTTCCATGGGCAAGGAGAGATTCCGTTTCACAAAAACCTCTTTTTTTTTTTTTTTTTTTTTTGATCCGACTGGCTCTAAATGGTGGCTTACTGCTTGCTTACACGCTTGAGCGGGAATTAACGGCGGGACGGGCGGGTGGACCGGCGGAGTAGAAGTTATCGGGATCGATCGATCAGGGGCGGCGTAGGGTGGGATGGGAAGGGCGTCTGGGGGGATCCTTTATACTATTCTTCATTGCGCTTGCTGGGATATGTCTTGAGCTTTGGTGTGGATTATCATGTTTTTATCTCTATGTTTGTTTTCGTTTGCTTGTTTGATTGATTTTCTCTGATTAGATGGCTAGCGGCGAATTTTGTTTTTTTCCTTTTCTCACAGAATTATTCTCTTTTCATCTTTTCATCTTTTATTCTCGTTCTCCATGGTCTGCGCTGGCGATGGAGACGGGTGGTGGGGGTTTCAGTATTTACGTGGGGAATGGAAGCGCGAGATAGGTTCGCGAGGCAATAGAGGAAGACAAAAGGTGGTGGGGGAGGGGGAAGAGACGAAGGAGAGTATTTATTCATCAGCAGTACATCTAGATAGTCTACACAGACATTTTTCAAACCTGTGCCATGGCGTCCTAAACTCCGCAAGTAGGAACATCACGAAGTTATGTTTGCAAGTAATAACCTGACTTGACGTCTACGCTCGTACCGATATCCTACAGTATCATAGCAGGGAAGCGGACGTGTCGATAGGGCATCCAAACCGCCGCCTTATCGCATAGCCCGGCTCAGCGTGGGGTATCATACTGTACAATCGCTACACTCGAGTACTCGAGTGTATGTGAGAACTCTTCCAGAGCACCACGTTTATGAGGTATCGTAACGCAGTCGCACCCTATCCATGCTACCGGCTAATAACGAGCTGAATTGAGTTGACCCCATATGTGTGTGGGGGGTTGAGGGAGGAGGGAGTTTGGAATGGGACCGGTGGTGGGGTCCGCACAGCACAGCACAGCACAGCATAGCACATCAAAGTAGACCGCTGCGCCGTAGGCATCGGATATGGGATGATGGGAGGGGGGGGGATGAGGCTGTAAATTACGGTAATCGTCGGTGAAGTGCGATTCTGTTTTTTTTTTTTGTTGGTAACTATGGTTATGGATGTTTCATACTTATGATACTATTCGAGTACAGTACTCGTACATACAGTGGTGGTGGTATCATATTAATGTCGTGTCGGGGTTGTGAAAGCGAGTCATTTGCTGTGATTACATGTTTTTCTTTTCTTTTTCGTTTCATTTTTATAATAATAATATTATAATACCTCGGTCACCGCGGAACTTCTTCCTTCCCGGTTTCCGGAGTTTTGAGAATGCTCTGAACGTGGAGTGAAAGTACCACTACTATACTCGTACTATATCACCAGGGAAGGAAAAATACGAGATGGTTTTGTTATAAGAGCATTGTACAGTACTAGTACGTACTGTAGACTACTGTACTGTACTGTACTTGTTTGCGGTGCTGGGGGTATAACCTTCTCATCCCAACTATTTGGATTACTCGCCATGCTTTTGGATTTTACTGCGAGGTCGCTGGCTCACTGGATGGGGTGTGAAAAGGAAGGAAGGAGGGAAGGGGTGGGGAAGGGCCCCTGGAGGGATGTTGTCTAGTTTAGGGGGGATTCGATTTTTCGTGCTTGTTGCTCTTCGTGGTTGATGGCTAGGAGAGGGGAATGTTTAATGGTTCTTATGAGATTTCTTGGTGGTTTATATCCTGGCGCTGGTTTCACTGGTTGGTCGAAAATTTCCCAAAAATTTTAATATCATATCCTGGAAATTACCTCCTTCGGGTCTCGCGTTTGGGTATCCAAGAGTTCCCACAGGATAGAACCGCGAGTGATGTGCTGTGTCGGACAAAAAGAGCGATATGATAGTAGGCTGATGGCCAAGCATTTGGAATTGGACCGGGCCGGTGGAATGATCCCGGCAGCCGGCTGCTGAGTGAATCACACACACATAATCGCGCAGGGAAGCATGGCTCACTGCGCCCCTGTTGCCTATTGTTAAGCCAGCAAACACTGGTGGCTCGCCGATATAGCGTCCAACTGACACGACACCTCATCACCCCCCTCGCCACCTCTCATCATGCCCGAGCCTCAGCTCAACAACGCCTAGAACGACAACTATCAGAACATGGACAGCAGCTCCAGTACCACCCGACCGCTGGAATTGCCTCTCCGGAGGCCCGTCGATATCAACTTGGCAGACTGGGGGCTCCGTACCCCGCTGAACTGGGCCGCTGAGGGGGGTCACGAGGAAATAGTGAGGCTGCTCCTGAACCGGAAAGACATCGACCCCAACCTGGCCGATTACCGCGGCCGAACACCACTCATTGCCGCTCTGGAGAACCGCCACGAGAATGTGGCCAAGCTCTTCATCGACCGGAAGGACTTCGATCCCGAACCTAACCACGTTGATGCCTCGTTCCCGCTCGCGTGGGCTATCGATATGTGGTGCGAGGAGATAGTGGAACTGTTGCTTGCCCGGAAGGATATCGACCCCAACAAGGGCGATTGCCGGGGTGGGCGTACCCCGCTGTGTCGGGCTGTGACTTGTGGGAACAAATATATCGTCAAAATGTTGTTGGATCGGGAAGGTGTGGATGTCAATCGGGCGGGCATGCGAGGTCGGACCCCACTGTCTTGGTCTGTTAACACGGGCTCCGCGGAAATGGTACGGCTCTTCTTGAGCCGTGAGGGAATCGAAGCCGATCTGGTTGATCGCAGCGGCCGAAGCCCACTCTCTTGGGCCGCACAACAGGGGCATGTAGAGATTGTGAAGCTATTGCTAGAACGAGAAGACGTCAGCCCAAACTCTGTGGACGCATTCCATCTTAAATCGCCACTCGCTTGGGCTGCTAGTTTTAGCCATGGGGGGGTAATGAAGTTGCTGCTGGATCGGAAAGACATCCAGCCCGATCTTGCTGATTCTAGGGGTCGAACAGCACTTTCACACGCCGCTGCAAACAATTGCACAGAAGGAGTGAGGCTATTGCTAGCCCGAGAGGATATCGACTCTAACTCGACGGATAGTGATGCACTCCACACGCCGCTACTCCGGGCCACCGAGAATGGCAGCGCGGGAGCCGTGGAATTGCTGCTACAACGGGCAGATGTCGAGCCGAACCGGGTGGATATCCAGAACCGAACCGCGCTCTCCATCGCCGCTCGGAGCGGTCATGAGCTAATATCGAGAATGCTTTTGGCCCGGGAAGATGTCGACCCCAACTTGGATAAACCAATTGTAGAAGCGGCCGGCAATTTCTACCCAAACATGATTTCATTATTCCTGGAGCGAAAGGGCGTCGACCTGAACGGAACGCTTGATAACGGGACCACGGCACTCGCGAATGCCGTTATGAGACGCCGCGTCGAGGCAGTGCAGATGCTAATAGCTCGAGACGACGTCAATCCCAACACAGTCGACAACAACGGCCAAACCCCGCTCCTTACTGCCATCCAGAAGGGATATCACGAGATAGGCATGGTCTTGCTCAGACGACCAGACATCGAGCTCAACACCGTGGACCGAGACGGCCGAACGGCACTCACTTACGCTGCCTCCAATGGGTGTGAAGAGGTGTCAAAGATATTGCAGGAGCGTGAGGACACCGATCCCAATATTGCTGATAACAGCGGCCGCACGGCATTGTCGTACGCCGCTGCGGACTCGGCGTCTGAGCCGATTGTTAGGATGCTGCTAGACCGACCGGATACTGATCCCAACCCCGTGGAGAACGACGGGCAAACGCCGCTTTCGCGCGTCATCGATAAGGGGCTTCATAGGATTGCCGAGATGATAGAGAGTCGGATTTACCCGATGGTGAACTAGTCTTGCGGTGATTCAGATATGGTTCTCTGGGTCATGGTTCTCGGCGGATCGGTGGATAGGAGTGGACTTCCTCTGCGGATATTTAGGTCTTCGATATTAGGTACTTCTCCTGTAGTGGCGGCGGCGGTGTCTTTGTCGATATACACATCAGCATCCTTCTTTCCCGCTTTCCCTCTCTCTTGATCTATCTACATGTGTTTTCAGTCAATGAATTTGTCATGTCGTAGCAGCGACCCGAGTTATCGCATTTCAGCACGTGGGGGATAGGTTAAAGTGAAGTCAATTCATCTCCCAGGATTTAGGTTTACACCTAGTTTTCCAGTTCCGCATCTATAGTCCACCCATAATAATAATAATATTATTATGATAATTATGATACAATAATAAATAATGATAAGGCAACCCATTAGATCACCCGTGGGGCATGCGTTGTGGCGGTTAGGCAGCACGTTCTGGGCACAAGACAGGGCACGATCCTCAAGAGTCAGGAATCGGGGGACAACCCCTGATCATCCATGCCCACGAAATACCGGACGAATTTTGCCTTCTTTTCATTTCTTTCCCCACGCTGCGCCCCACACAGTTCCACGGTATCCCACCCCACCACCCGAACACGCGCCCTCGGCGGAGCGAGGTCGGAGACTCTCTACACTGGGGGTGGATCACCACCTCGATGGGTTTGTACGGGATCGGCGGGAATGGTTCTTCGATTCTTGGTCCGCCCCCCCCCGCGCACTCCCGCTAGTCACGTATGGTACAGTATGATACTCCACACTCAAGCTACGGAAGGAGTTGTCACTTGACGAGTGATATTCCATGCCTAAGCTGGAATGCCTGGGCGCTATTGGTTGGTATCATATGATAATTCATACGAGTTGCTCTTGCAAAACCTTTTAACAGCCTGGCCCCACTCAACGTACCAAACCGTAAACGTCCCACATGGTCGCGTGGCCTAATGGTCAAGGCGCTGGTTTTCGGCACCAGAGATTGGAAGTTCGAGTCCTCCCGCGATCGCAAAACTTTTTTTCCCCCCATTCCTTTTCCACGAGAATCGTGCTTACGTCCTCCTCTCTCTTTTCACAAATGCGCAATTAAACATGCAGTGATTATTTATGACTGTTACATCTAAAAAACCCAACAATGATGAAAAGGTTCAAATTAATTAAAACGCCTCGGCGCCATTCTTTACGATGACTTGTGCACTATGTTGCTGTGACCATTATGATAGCTACGCAAGTAAATGGTATATCCCCAATTCTAATTTGCTTCCTTCCTTCCAGAGCGCATTCGTTTCGCTGTCGTATGATGATTCCCAAAACACCGATAATGTTCCTCTCCTCCACCCCTCTATTCATATTCTTGGTGCTGCTGTTGGCGCCTGCCACCGGTCACCCAAGGGTCTTCCAATCTAATCATTATCAACATCAAAACATACAACTACAAATAACAGGGTTGGCGCCACTCACGGGGTAACAAGATTGGGATTAATAAACCTCTCCCCCTTCTCTCTCTCCTCTACCGTGTCCTCAGGGACAGCGCCCCCGTTCACAAATTCTGGCTCTCTCACGACTTTAAGAGCGATAAATTTGTTCAACGGGACGTATATCCTCGAGAACATCCATGCGAGCCAGATACCTACGAAAAGCAGTGGGACGATGAGAAGAGATCTAGTGAATGCGTGATTGATTGCAAGGAAGCCAGCCATGGCGAGCTGGAAGATGAAAAGTCCGAGTATTACGCGGTAGAATATCATGCTCCAAGCTTGACCTGTGGAATGTTGGGGGTGGTCCATTGCTAGCGAGGGTTAGTGCGATGATGTGTTAAGGCAAAGAGGGTGAGGGTGAGAGTGCGTACAGTATAGGAGTTGGTATTTGTATGTAAAGTATCCGATGACAAAGTATACCCAACCAAACCCAAGAATTAACCCTCCAGCGGGCAGAACGCTGTAGATGATACAGATGATGAGAATCAAGATAGGTTGCGGCAGGTAGAACCCGTAAGAAAACGTCGAGGGCCTGGCAAGGTCGGCGAAATCTCTAGGCGTTTTCGCCCCGGCGTACATGATAGGATAAAGAGCTACACTTCCAAACTGGAGGAGGCGGAACGGAAACATACCGATTCCTTGAAGGATGATTAGGTTCACGTAGAAAGAAGCAAGATTTCCAAGGGACCGCGCCAGCGCATATGCAATGGTTGTGGTATCGGAGAGTGAGCCCTTGAGCTGCTCCCACAGGTTATTGAAGGTAAAGGCGGTTCCGCTGGCAGCACATGTAAGAACTTGAAATGTTAGGCTTGCGAAATGGATACTTACAGGGTTGTAAAGGCAAAAAACACATTAAAGAACGTGAAGAAGAAATTCTTGCTGATTAGTGAAAGCTCCACGTCTCCTTGTGAGATTTGGCCTTGGCAGTTTGAAAGCCCTAAATCCTTCACGATCAACGCATTGCCCTTGGAGTGGACTCTCGGGAACAAGGCTATAGGTTCTTACAGTCATAGAAGTATGGCGCGAGGATGCTGAAAAGTGTCAAAACCGCGGTTGGCAAGAAGTTCTGGATCAAGGAACTAATAATAGGGCTGCCCTCCAGAAGATCTGCAAGCCCAGGCAAAACCCGACGGATATCTGAAAGGTTCAAAAGACCAGCAAGACCAGTGACTGGTATAAGCCAGACAATTGAAAGTAGACTGACAAGGATACTGATTCCCCATGAATAAATCAGACGAGTACTGCGGGACCTATAGGTATTCTTCCAGACGATATCCGGCGGCGCGGGTGCTTGGGTAGCTGTCATTTGGTTGGCGCGCGGATCCAGAACAGCTTGAATCACAACTTGCTTCATAAGAGTTAGCGGGGGTCCCATTCACACGGCGGTCAGAGACTTGCAGCTGATGCAACAGACTCCATGGTAACAAATGCATTGGAACTGGGTTCATATTCCTTCTTTCTAGCCTCAATAATCTCTTCATCAAGTGCCTTTAACTTCATCCTAAGATAGTCGATTGCATCAACCTTCTTTCTCTTCAGGCCCCATAGCCCAACCCGTATCGTCATCTTTGGCCTATCATCCCCACGAGAAGGACGAGGGCCCCGGTTAAGAAGTGGCTGTGTTTCCTCATCACCCGGTTGTAACGGTTGTGGGGGTGATGGTTGGATAAAAGGCAGAGCTTCCAAATCTCTCCCAACTTTGCGATGCCTGCTGTAAACGACGTATACCTCTTCCAGCTGTCTCACGAGATCCCGCCTTTGCGCCATAAGACGATCTAACACTGCCCAATTCCGGCAGATAGTAACCGAGTCGACTCTTCCGATCCGCAAGCCTTCAATATATTCCTTCAGGGCATCTTCCGACCTAAGCACTTTTGGAATCCCGGACAACCTCACGGTTCTATCGGTAACCGTGACTTTATTCCCGAGATATTTTTGCCGGACAGCAAGCACCTTTTTGGTCTGGTCGAGAAGCAAATAGACTGCTAAGGCAGTGAACAGGTACACAAACACCACGTAAGCCCAAAGGTATGGCCCATCAAGCTTGATTTCATCCTTATCTTTACCACCAAGGACATTCATCCCCCGACCAGCAGGTCTGAGTGCCCATTCCGAAAACGAAACCCGAGGTTTCGAGACCGAGTGGTCAAAGTGCAGATGTATAGGCATGAGCAAGCCCAACGCTAGCACAGCTGCAATCGATAGGAATCTAATAGACATCTTGAAAAATGACAAAAACTAAAAATACCCGTGAGATTCCATGGCGACGATGCAGTGCGGGCAATTAAAGTGCTTACCACATAGGCATCAAGACCAGCAGACGACAGTACTTGCTCATCCGTTATCTCCCACAGCACCGGTATCCAGCCGAAGAAAGTCTTTGGTAAATTCGGTAATGACGCAGCTGATGTACCTCCTACTTGTCAGCTTTGAAAAGATGTCAAAAAGGATAAAAAATGAGGGAGCTCCCACCCCTCAGATCCCCATTCAGCTCACCTGAATCAAGTGTCTTTTTCCGCGCCGCGTAGAGCGAGGACCACCTTGGCCTCAAGAAACAAAACGTCAAGAAAGCACCCAATCCAAGAGTCGTGGAGATAACTAGCTGGGTTGGTAAATCGGTCCTCCCTAGGCGAAATCACAGTCAGTCAGTCAAAAATGCGATGCGAAATAAAATGGAATAGAACAAGGAGCTGAGGAACGCATACTCGTATCTGTCGGAAGTCCGATGTGCGTATCATTATTACTCCTTAAGAGCGTTACTCCATCGTGTAAAGTGTGAATAGCCATCCTGGCCCTCTGTACGGGGAACAGAAGAGTTCCTGTTTTGAGCGCGATGATGAGGAAAAAGGCCTTTCTCCCTCGAGAATAGAACGGCGAAAGTTTTCAAGGGCGGGCAGCGGGTCCAGCTGGCAAATTCCGCCAAGACGTTGAACTGACGACACCCGTCAGTGCCAGGTGCCACGTGACACCGCCCTCCTTCCCCCGGTGACACGAGAACAAAAGAATTTATTGGTTCTTCATTTTCTTTTCTCCACTTCTCTCACATCATCTCCACTTCTCTCATGATTGAGTTCTGATACGGCACTCTTACTGACCAGAGCCCAACCATTGGGGTGATGAGGGTGTTAATTATCAACCAAAGTAGCCATTGGTGCAGGAACTGGTACGCTCGGAAATTGATCTCAAAACTAGTAGGTTTATTTGTTGAATGGGAAGCGGTGCTTCTACCTTATTGGCAAAGCAGTTAAGTTATAAATGCTTTTCTTGTGTACGAATCCTCCCAAAGCTTTTGCTCGCGAAATGCTGACCAACCATCCAGTATAATACAGCAACAGTACCTGTAATTATTATGTTACTTGGGTATACAATACCAAGGTACTCAAGCAACCAGATTTCGGTACTTGAGAATAAGTACGGATACAAGCATGCAGAGTTTCAGCCTACCATAGTACTAGTACTTTATTGTACCGTAAGTTATTCAGGACCCAACAGATAAGTTCATCCAATTCCATAAATCCTTAATTGTATCAAACAACTATTATCCTGTAACTACTCATATAGGGTCTTATGACAGTATCTCTTAGAGATGTAAAATAATGAGGTTTAGTGCATCTAAGGATTGAACCTCTCTAAGGGATAATAATTCCAGAAGTGGATAGTTGTAGTACCCGGAGTAAACAGAAGTACAGGGTCCATAAGGATTATTGTACTGTACATGTATATGAATAGGCGTAGTCTTAAGTGTTAAAACATGGACTACAACTTGGCCATACCTACTATTATGTAAATATAGAAGCCCATCTCCCTACTTAGAATAAATACATTCCTCGAATTCCCCAATTATTATCGCATCTAAGTGTTTCTATTACGTTCATCATTACTATCATAACCTACGGCCAAGCCATTTCTTCGCCTCCATCAGTTTATGAGTTATTGACCTCACCAATTTTGTCCTCATCATCCACACCCCCCAATTTCCAACCCCCACCAGCAAGTCAGTTGGGGAATGGTTTTTTTCTACAGTTGGTGAACAAAGTAGTTTACCATTAGTATTTTAGGAGTGGTCATGGATAAGCTGGATGAGATAAATTATCAGATTTGATATGTTGTCACAGTACAGGTATCTCATCTTGCAAAAGTGACGATGGCTTCCGGCCAAGGACTATACCATCATCGAAACGTTTCAAGACTACAAGCAATCCTAAACCATCTAAAAAAAAAAAAACCTCAACAAACAAACACAGAAACAGCGGTATTCTTCCCGCACGCCCGCAGCACAACCGGTATCATACAACACAAGATAAGCCACCGCACGCATACCGGCCGGCTATGCAGTAATTGCGGAGCTTGGCCGAAGAACGCAGTACTCGTACAGTACATCCTTGTTGGAACGCGCATCCAGGGAAATCCGAACTTTACGCGAGGAAGACAAGGGTCCGGAAACGGGTGCACGTGTATTATCCAAGCATGGGGAGCCAGCCTGTTACCGCTATACCCGGGGTATCTTGCTTCACCACACTGTCAGCACGCAGAGACGGTGGTGTGGTGGTGGTGGGGAATGGGGAAGGATATCATGATGCAAAGAGCGCAGTGTGGTCTCGCCGAGATGGTCATTGTTTTTGTATCATACCGCCCAGCACACCGTAATGGCACAACTCGTTTGGACAAGCTGGAGTGAAGTAGTAGGCAGGCAGAGCCCTTCCTACCCATCTTCTTTAGAATTTCGCCTCGACGGAGCTCGTGAGAGGGGAATGTGGGTCCCTTATGTCAGTCCCTTGCCTCAGGACATGGTGGTATGTGAGATGCTGGTCCACGGCCCGGGTTCATATATTGCTCGACTAGGGGAGTAAGTTACTCGAGTAGGGTATTGTACAAGTACACGTGTACCGGCATAACGAAACATGGGTGGGGGGATTGATCAGCTAGGATATTCATATATGGATAGTACTTGTAATAGATATCTTTTTAATGAGCAGGTTTATGCAGGTCCATCTCTATCTCTACTCGTCACTATCTCCCCTTGTATGATATAAGAAAACTTGTCTGTGCGGGGCAAAGATGTTAGGACCGTGGTTTTGTTGCGGGAGTGTTTGAAAGTAGCGGTGCGGTCATTCACCGTCACTCCGATCTGATGGAAGGGAATCAATAGCCACGTAGGGTATGGCCAAGCAGTGAATCCCCGATGTCGTACCGCACCGTTACTTCACACCTATCCTAGATTTTGATCCAAATAATCGCCGCTGACTGTCCTCGCCGCCATGGAAGACGACCGCAGGGTAAGAGGGCGTATCCTAATTCTGGCCACAAGCAAAACAGCCTTACACAGTAGGTGGGAGAGAGGAAGTGTTTGGAGATAATTATCGGTATATTACGGTCCGTATATAATTATTATTACTCGAATATTATGATATAAATTCTTTCGACCGACGGATGGTGGGGGGATACCTGTACCCTATTAACTTAAGTTATCCGGGGTTCGCCAAGCCAAGGAGATGATAAAGGCTGGGCGGTGCTGGGGTTCTTAAAAGGAGGAGGCATTTCAACAACTAAAAAATCACCCAATTGAATTAGCAATGAACACATCTTAAAATGAGCAAGATAATTAAGAAAACCCTTTGATAGGACTATTCAATATTTGTTCTTCTTCGTATCCATGAACTTTGTTTGTTAATTGGGTCAGTATTATATGGGAAAAATGCTTTAGTAGTTATGAGCACTTCAATATTAACGGGGTAGCTGAAGTGGTGGGTTTGAGGTGTCCGATACAATGCGGTTGAGTGTGTGGCACCTGTTTGATCACCATGCCAGACCCTGTCGTCGTAGACACCAAAAACTGCCTGTGAGTACCAGTACTCGAGTACCGGTATATGCAAAAGCTGTTTTCTTTGACCTAATACTAAAACAATCGGGGTGGTAGAGTTCACAGAAGTAAAGAAGAGCGTAAATATTGGATAGTTCAATGTAAATTTTTTTTCTTAATTATCCTATATATTTATTTAGGATATATTCATTGTTAATTCCATTGGACTGATTTCAGACCCCCAGCACCATCCAACCTTAACCGAGACTCTGTCTTGGCGAAAAACCTGACCGTACTCGAGTACCGTATCATACTTATACCTGTATGATGGAGGAATGGTGCGGTGCGGCACTAGACAAGGGATACGGCAGATGTTTTCGTACAAGACAGAGATTATTTTACTTGTACGGGTTAACCTAAATTAACTGTGCAAAAAACCCTAGCCCTAGAATTTGTACTTGTACGGTACTCGGACTTGTACCGTGTCTAGCTTAGATCAGTTGAATAGTTGGACGGTAATCTTCTTTGGCAGACTAATTATCCCGTTCGGCAACTCAAGGATTTGTTTAGAATGCGTTACAGGCCAAGCCTCAGAAATATATGAAATGCCCCTGGACTTGTCCTTTTTCAGCTTAGCCCCCCAGGGAGGTCCATGGTAAAAAAACACCAGGCACCCCCCCCCCGCGCACAAGGGATGGGCCGGCTCCATTCCACGAGCCCAGTACCGGTACTCGAGTAATTGTTGACAGAAATGTCTTTGGGAGGACTATCCATGCGAAGGTAAGGGCTTTTTGTTTTCCTCCGAACGGGTGAACGGATAACGCTCGTATCATAAAAAATGGCACACAGAGATATGCTGTGCGTAGATTGCACATCGATTATTAGCGATATTGCAGTGCTATGATAACACGGTATCATGGAGGGAAGGTTTTGTGAGCCGCCCTGAGAACACCGGTACCACCCGACGATCCGGAAGTGTGTGGCTTTCTGCATGGCACAAGAGCCCCTAAAGTACGCCATATCGGCCCCTCGCCCGCCAGGGCGCCCAGAAATCATCTTGACACTTATCGATGGTACTTGTAAGGCATCTATGTACCAAAACTTGTGACACCTGAGCTAGTACTCGTACTCGAGTACCGTGCAAGTGTTAACACACTTGGCTAAGTGCTCCCTACTCAATATGTTTCTCTTCCCCGCACCTAGTTGCTTTTTCTCAAGTTACTCGAGTATGATAGTCTACTCGTACTTGCTTCTTTATCTCTGAGGGTGCCGGTGCGGTAATGTTACAACTGCAGATTTTGGTAGACTCCTTATGTGTATGGTGAGTGAAGGTTTACGAAGTGCACAAGGACGTTGAGGATGAGTACGGCCATAGCTCCTGCCTCTGCGCCTGTGCTGTACGAGTAAGTTTGATGCTTGAGGACAATTGACCATGTGCTGTGCATGTGCGGGCGCTGTGGCATATATGCACGATATCAGCAGAATGAAGAGGTATGGGCAGGCATTAGTTCCCTAAGCATGTATGGAGTAAAAAAACTCCAACTGGTGGATAGAGTACTCGTATAGTAGACGGGGGGAACCCTGCCTACCACTCCTCCATGTCAAGGTTCTCCCTCACGTTGGAGCTTTGATGCCCATTTTCGCCTTGAAATTGCAGCTGCCGGGTGCTTAGAAGCTCTGTGGGCTTACTGCTCTTGTCTTATTTAGTATGCACGAGTACATATTCTCTTGTGATTGTGGACAGATCCATTACAGAGTTCCCGGGTAGTGTAGATGGCGGAGAAGGAATGGTCCTGCAGGACCCAAATCGCCTCAAGACCGCCAGTCCGCTCCGTGGACAGGACGTTGTAGTCTCTCTTCCCCCCTCCCCACTCATCCCATCCCCGTCTCAGCTCCCTTCGTATCCCTTCCTCAACTACATCCCTCTGAGAGAGAAATTGGGGGCATCTTCCCCTCCTCTCCTTTTCAAAAAAAAATAATAATAATTTGGCGGTTCGAATTCTTCCCCTTTCTTAGGTTCGGTTGCGTGGCACTGTTGCATTCACCAGTCGTATCTTGATAATTTATTTATTCTGCCTCGTATTTTCTTGTATTGTACTAGTACGGGTCCGTACTGTACCCTACCTAGGTGACAGGCTCCTCTCTTCGCTTCCCCCTCCTTATCCGCCATCCGAAGAGCCGGAATGCAATTGAAACGAGAGAACTGACGACTCAGTTTCTTTTTTTTCCATTCTATTCTCCTTGCGCTACGTTCCTTATACATGCGTCACCCGATGGTCTGAACTGCAGTACTTTCACCATTTCACCATCTTCACTGCATGAGTCTCTCTCTACTGTTATCCACACATCTCTCTATCTCTGTTGAAGGAAGGAAAGAGAGACAAAGAGAGGGGAATTTTGGCAGCTTTGGTTTGTTTGTTCCTACCTTTGTGGTCCACTTCTCGAATCATTGCCGGTTGGCAGGTCTCCAATTTCTATCCAACCACCATCACCTATCCATACAGCTTCCTCCGCAAAAGAGCAGCAAGCTGGCCAACCACCCGCCGGTTCACTGCACACGCATACGTGCTAGTGCTGCTGCTGAGCCAAGAAATTCATTGCGCCCCCCCAAAACCCAACCATCCCACCCACCCACACAAACCAGAACAACCACTTCGTCAGCGCAAGTCCCCCAGCTTCGGATCGATTCGACTGCAAAACACGAGAAAAAAATAACAAGGGGCCTGCATCTTAATCAGTTTGCCCGTGACGTGGAGCTAGGGGCCTCGTTCCAATCGCCGCGTTTATCCCATAAGCCGCAGCAAGGCCAAACATAATTGCATTTCTTGCCATTCGCAGACCGGGTATCATGGGAAAAAAGGATCCAAAACCCGTTTCTGGGACCAACGGTAGCTCTGTTAAAGGGAAACATCTCCATGAAGGTCACAAGATGACAGCCGCTACATTCGCGAAGGTAGCGGCAAAGCAGGACGAGATAAGGCAGAGGGAACCGCTTGAAACTGACTGTCCACCCCGAGCTCCTCCCAAGGATACGTCCACTCAAAAATCACCGTCACCAACCAACCAGGTGGCTACGAGAAGGAAGCTTCTGCAGAGACAACTGACCAGTGGAAAATCTGACATGGCGCCGGTTGCTCTTAATACAGCTACCGCAATTTCGCGGATTGCCGATAATTGGGCTCCACCCACCAAATCCCCCTCACCTTCTACAACAATGAAGGGCCCTCGAGTGAAGTCGACACCCAAAGCTTCGACAAGGCCGTCGTTCAAGTCGCAAAGCTCTGATGCATCAAATTCTAGTGGCCTCGCAAAACTTAATTCGCATCCCGCTTCACCTGCCCGTGGCTCCTCGGATAATCCGCCTCCTTTACCTGATCGACCGGCACCGCAACGCTCTGCATCAGTTGAGGGGGGAAGTTTATTGAGTATTGTCAAAAAAGGAAGAGAGCAAATTCAATCCGGTGGATTGGGGGCTGCTAAATTTCTGGGCAAAAAGGGACATGAGGCTTGGGGTAAAATTAAGAAGGGGAAGGAGAAAAATGGCCATTCTGGACCGATCGGTTCACCTTATTCTGGTGGGGGTAATGTAAGCCTCAGGGATTCTAGCAATGACATCGATGTTTTCGGCATGGATTTACGGGAAGCAGTCCAGCGGACTAGAATTGTGAAGGAGAGGAAGGGACCTGCCGATGCAGCGTATTGGATGCCTGCTTTGGCGTATCGATGTCTTCAGTATGTCTCCCGGTCCCCTTGATTACCACCCTGAGATAGAGAAAGATGGCTGCTAACATGGAACTTAGATATCTCAATGTGCATGGCCCACCTGAGCTTGGAATTTATCGAATCCCAGGAAGCACATCTGTTGTTGACGAACTGAGAGCAGAGTTCAAAATACGTATGGTTTCACGATCCCCTGAACACTTCAAGGCTGAATTTTTTTTTGGGGGGGGGCTTTTCAGGGCATGACGTAGATCTTTTTGACAATCCTCCCGATGACCTCCATACTGTATCGTCTTTGCTCAAAGCATGGTTCCGGTCATGTGAGTATACGCCAATAGTATGTCCATTCTGGTTTATTCCCGTTAACATATCACAATAGTGCCCGAAGCTGTACTTCCCCCGGAGGTACAAAAGAGGGTATACGAAAAGTGTAAGGATCAAACAGATGCTCCAAAACCGCCCCAGGCGTTCATCGACGAGCTTTCACAACTACCCCCCTATGTGAGTCATCTTCCCTGCCCGTCTGATCGACTGGTTGTCTTGGAAATAAATACCTAACAAATACAATTTAGAATTACTATCTACTTCACCATCTCTTTTCTCATCTGAGTGCTGTTTGCGGCGCTTCTGCCATAAACAAAATGAATCTTGCTAATCTTGGCATGATATTCTGCTCTACCCTTAGAATTGATCGGTTTTGCTTTAATTGGCTTGTTAGTAGTTGGGATGAATGTTGGGCTGGATGCAAGACGGAAGAGGAAGAGTACAGGAGGGCTATTCCAAGTAGGCAGCCTTCGACGTCCTCTTCTGGCCAGAGCCAATACCACGACGCTTCCTCAGCACCCGAGTCGCGGTCGACCAGTCAAACCAATGTTGACCGTTATCCGTCAAATTGCTCTAATGCTCGGCCTCAAAAGACACCATCACCGGAGCCTAGATTTATTGCTAGGTCTCTCAGCAGGGTCGGACGCCGTAAAGGGGGATCTAGTAAGGATTCGAAAGAGCGGAAGGAGGGAAAGTCCCAACCTTCCCCACCGCTTCCCCAAGAATCGTTGCTCGGAGCTCACAGCGATGAGGGGAAATACAAGGATCTTGACCAATCAAGTCTGCAAGTGGAAATAGGTCGTCCACCCACAACTCCAGCATCGGAGTTCAGTTTGGCGGCGGATACTCAACCTCCTAGGCTCACACCAGACGGTAGTAGCAGTATCGATAGGCTGGATCTGAAGTTGCCAAGTATCCAGCCAGTCAGCCCTATTGAGGGAGATGGGGCCATGCTTTGACTGGGTGGTAGCGCCCGGAATATCTAAAGCATGAAGCTAAGAGGGGTTACTATGGAAATTTATTGCTGGCTACTGCGATTAGGAAACTCTGTTGGTCCTCCGGTAGGGCTTATGAGCGCTACTAAAAAGCTTTGCTTTCAGTATACATACATAATGACCTTTCCTTTCCAGTTTTCCATTTCCACCGTTTCTCCCGCTCTTGCTCGAGTAGCCTGAGTAGTGGGTGCTAGCCTGGTAATGTTTTTTTCTTTCTTTTCGGTTTTCTGTCAATTGGAGTTGAGCGAGCATTCAGTCGATTTCTTTCTTTTAGTTTTCTGTTTGCGGAGGCACGAGTATAGACGGAAGAATTTCGCTAAACTTATTCCTTCTTCAATTCTACCCTTGCACCTGATATGTACCCCTCATATTTGCTCCTATCTTACCTTATCTTGCCCTCCCCCACCTATATCATTCGCTTCACTCGTAGCTAGCCACGAATTTCCTTTCGACAAAAAATCACGCTCTTTTTCCTAATTTTTATCATTCTTCCTCATTGCTATGTTTGTTTTCATACTTGCCATCGATCTTTCATCTTTCCCCTATTTCCATTCTTTCTCGTTTTTTTGTGAAATAAAAAAGTCGGGATATCCTTTCATTAGCTGTAACTCCGGAGGCGTTTTCTTTTTATTTTTTCTTGCCAATCTAGCTTCTTTACTCTTTTTTTCACTTGCTTCCCTCTTGAAATGTTCGCTGGTGCTTCGATATGCGCTTGAGCGAGTAAGTAACTAGGTGTTTTACTCTTTTTTATTTATTTATTTATTATCATATAGGTCTTTGTAGTCTCTTTTTGTTCGTGTTTTTGGTTTCTTTTTCTTTTTTTTCTTTTTTTCTTTTTTTCTTTCTGGTTAGAAGTACCCGTCGTGGATTGTGATGATGGACTGGTGGATGGGTTAGGGTAGGTGGGTGGGATAGGGTAAACGGGGGATGATGGTGGGGGTGTGATGCGATATCCAAATTTATTATATCATATTATCATAACGTGTTACTCCGTTCTGCGCTGGTGTTATCATAATTATTATGATAATATTATCGTGTTGTGTGGTATTTAATTCATAAAGAATCACTCGAAGTCGGGACGGTTTTAGGTGAGTGAGTTTTGAGCGGATGCGGTTCACAAAACTGGCACCGCCTGGCTTGACTAAGGTTCTGTACCCAAACACCAAGAACCACTTTTGTAGAATGCTCCAGGAAGCAAACCTTCCTGGCAATGACACCAAACTTGGACGTATATATCATAGTACTTGAGTATTGGATCAAATCGTTTTGTCTCGTTACCTTTTTCCACGAAGAGGGTCAGTTCTTTCCCCACTCGGGTAACATCAACGCCCATGAGAATCTACCAAAATCTCATACCGCGTTACCGAATCTGTGGGTAACTTAACATATGAAGCTTTTTGAAAACCCTAAAAATGGTAATAATAAAAAAACCGTAGAGCGAGAATGAGGGGCTAAGTGGGAGAGTATGTGGTTGCAATGAATGATACCTTTTTCCAGGGAGCCCCATGCGAAATTTTGGCACTTTCACATCGGGCGATACGATTGTACGTCGTGAGCTCGATCCCAACCTTTTCTTTTATTTGCGCTTTGATTTTCTAGCTGGCGTCCCATGCCAATTGTCTCCAGCAAGGCAGCGCTGGGGGTCCTGGCGTGGTCCGGGTGCGTATCATATTGTTCGGGGACAAAATTAACTAGCTCTCAACGGCAATGGCAATGCTCCCCTCCTCATCACCCCCCTCCCTCAACACTTCCTTAAGAAATTGCTCTACACCAACCAAAACCAAACCAATTTACTTAATTTCTTTTTTCAATAAACTATGCCTCCTATTCTTCGCAGTCATGCCAAACAGCCTATTCCCTCCAAGCATTTTTCTGAGTTTACAAGGGGACGAATTCTCGGGTTACGCGAGCCTCAGATGACAAATCACCAAATTTCCCACTACCTTGACATTCCTCTCAGTACTGTTAAAAGCACATTTGCAAAGAGAGATCAAGAGGGCAAGGAGAATGAAGGTAGAGGAAGACATCCTAAAACTACGAAGTTGCAGGATGATGCTATGGTAGAGGAAGCTCTCAAAAATTGCCATACCAGCTACTCTGAGATTGCTGAGAGAGTGGCTCCCAATGTTTCTGCTAAGACTGTGAAGAGAAGACTTGCACAAAAGCTTCTTAAAAAGTGGATGGCATAAGAGAGGGTTCATTTGGATGAGGATCTAGCTCAAAAGAGATTGGAATGGGCATTAGCCCATAGGAATTGGACAAGGCAGATGTGGAGAAGGAAGGCAATATGGGGGGATGAGGTAGCTGTGGAGAGGGGAGGAGGAAAGAGAAGAAAATGGGTATTTAGATGTCCAAAAGAAAAGTGGAATAAGGATTGTATTGAACCTACTGCTAGGAAAGGAGAGAGAAAGATTAGTCAGATGATGACTGGTTGTTTTTATAGTCAAACTCATGGTCTTTTTTTACCTGTTTTTCCTGATCCTACTTCTGCTGGAGGTGGAGTGACTGGAAAGTCAATTATTGATGTTTATGATTAATATGACTTTCCAGAGATATGGGAGGATATCAAGGAGCATGTTGGGGAGGAAGAGGTATTTTTGATCATTGACAATGCTAAGACTCATTTGCCTTTCAGGAGATGGCTCAAGAGAAATTCTATTCATCTATCTAAAAAGGCATTTCCGTCCAACCAACGAAACTATGAAATCTATGAATCTTGGCGAGAGTGCCCCTAGGTACATCCACACCATCGTATACCCCTTGTTCAATCATATTGTTATCAGGTTCCATCTCTACACCTCCAGGTGTCCTGTCTGTACTACTGAGTTGAGGGTGATAGAAACCGATCCACCATATAGGCGCTTGTTGATGGGTAGGACGGCGGGGTCAGCTAGAATGGTGGTACATTGATCAAAAGCCACGTAACGTCTGGGATGACATGTAAAACGGAATGCCTTCTCACGAATAGTACTGACAGATGAATATTTCAACAATTTTAGTCTGGTGTCGTAGAGGATCTGACGATAATGTCGTTTATTCTTCGCCAAGAAACCAATCCATTCCTGTTCCCGCTCCTCCTGCGTATAATTGAGGGGACCATCCGTCACCTTGAGAAGGGCCCAAGCATCATTCATATTGATCGGACTGATGCCTACCAGGTTGGAAGCAGGGGGCGGAGTATTGTTAAGTGGCGTAAGAAGGCGATGGAATAATCGCCACCGAGGCGATTCCAGAGACTGCTGCGAAAAACAAATAACACGATAATATAATGGACGCCGCCATGTGAGATAAAAATTAATGGAAAGAGTGTTGACCTTAATGATCAGATGATAATGTAGATGCTTTTTCTCCTCGTATTCACTTATCATGACGTCTGCCGGGACAGCGACATTGCCCATGCGATGATGACCGGGGCGGATAACTTGCAATGTAAGAAGAACAAAATTTCTGCTATCACTAACAGGCAGTACAGTGACGATGTAATGACTCTGGTCTTGAGAAGAGGGCAACACCTCATCGGTAACAATAGTACTGTGCCATGCAACATTCTTGCAGTACGCTATAGCAGCACACACCTTGTGGTGAAAGTATCGTGTCATGATGATGATAATCTAATATCGGCGGCGATAGTGAAAACGTTGGCGGCAATAAGGAAAACGGCGACGATAGGTAAAGCGACGCCGATAAAACCTCATATTTCCGTTATCGGTGATGAGATCCTCGTCCAGTGTTGCTTCGAGGGCTTGATAAACGTCAGGGTGATGCTCGCGCACGCAACTTATAATGACACAGTGTGAGTCAGAGGATGGCGATGACTTGTATCCTTCAACCTTTATTGATGTTGTGGTGTGATACCGTAAAAAAAAAAAAAAAAGTTGGAAAGTGGAACGGGGCCCTAATAAATATATGTCAATGCCAAGAAATTCCCTAATACGGTTAACTCCCACTCCCATCCCACTGTAGTATATAAAATTAAAGTATACTACAGTGGGACCCTAACCCCGATAGTGGGATTATGTAAATATCCGTTATAAATATAATAGTTGATTCCCACCCGTTGAATACTCGGAAACATCAGCAGCGAAACATGTTACAATTCGACGACATGACACAGATAATAAGCGAGCATCTCAATGTCTCTCCTCCTCATATTCCTTCTTCTCCTCCTATTGTACTGTCGCCTACCGAAATAGACTCGCTGATTCTTGAACGAGATCCTTCGCCGATACTGACACCTACACAATGGTGACGAATCAATGAGATCAAGGAAGCGGCGGAAGCACTACAGAATATATCGGAGACAAAACACCCCGGTCCATCGATTGGCTCCCCTCCGTAGAACCCGAACAGAGTACCGGGGTGGTGGCGACAGTTGACATTACTACAAGCACTCGACCCATTCCTACCGGTAGAATCTGTTCTAAATACCTTATGGTTACGTACCCCATTGTGACGGCCTCACAGCTAACAGGATTGTGGACACTTTGCGATGGAATAACCTCGAACTTGTCCTTGGAGCGGAGCAACATGCTGATAGCGGACTTCACTACCACGCTTTCTGCTGTTGAGTGGGCAGAGGGAGATTCGAATCCCGAAATATACAACGCTTCGACATTCAATTCCGGTCTCGAGTATATCACCCGAACATATTGGCAGTTTACTGAACTCCGGAAAAAGCATACGACTATGCGAGAAAGGATGGGTGAGTCATAGTGGAGGATTTCGAAAAGAATGCTGTCGAACAGGGAGGAGTTGCCAGTCAGGGAAAGGCTGTGTTGCTTGAATGTTTCGCTGAACCAACTAAAGATAAAGTGAGTTCTCACCAGCCCCCGAACAGGCTGTCAATATAGAAAGACCTTGTCAATCTCCTCAATCTGAGTTCATGATACCCGGGGAGACATTCATTTGTCTTGATCTGTGGCGAGGTTGAGGAGCGGAACTATCCCCCCCGGATACGGGTTTAGCAGGGGCCTGTAGTTCTTGACATGTCCCAGGGTAAAATGGCTGACGGGATGACATGAATCTAGTTTCTTGAGAGCGTCTGAACAGTGGCTCTGAGACTTTACATCGGAAGCTACAATAATCTTCGGTTGGTAGCTGAGTGACAGTATCTGGACAAAGCGATCGTATATCGGTCACCATGTGCAAAGAAAAGTTGGGTTCTACTAGAAGAGTTGGACAGATGGTGCGATACGTTCCTTAATTTATAATCTGATAATTCGTGTAAAGGTATTGATAGTTTGTGACCATTGTCACTAATTTTGTATGGTCCAACACAGACCGGTAAAACTGAATGGGCAAGGTCTTTGGGTTCTCATATTTGCTTTTCGGGATTTTTTAACCTTTCCTTATATCTTGAAGTCTACAAATATGTTGTGTTCGATGATGTTGAATTTTCTAGGATGGATGTTTTCAAATGTTGGTTTGGTATACAAGCAGAATTTACTAGCACCGATAAATATTGCAAAAAGAAAAGAATTATTCATGGTCGGCCTGTAATCAGTTGCTTTAATGAAGACCCTCGCTTAGCAAGTTGGGCAGATACAAATTGAATAGACGGAAATTGTATTTTTGTTTGTATTTCAGAAAAGTTATATCGCTCTTAAATATGTTACTCTCTAGGGGAATGTGACAGAGGAGGGGAGTTAAAGCCTCCCTATCCCATTTGATATACTTCCTCTAGACGGTATTCACTACCGTTGGACCCCACCACCAACCTAAAGAGAAGAAAATGGGTATTTAGATGTCCAAAAGAAAAGTGGAATAAG